TTCAGTACAGCTGTTATGGAAGAAAAGATACTTTTATTCTTAATATCTGAAATTTTATTACCATTTTATCTCTTATTTCTACTCAATGCTTAAAAGTATTTCCAACATCACAGCAATTTTACCATACACTCCGAATCCCCTTTTCTGTTCAATCACATCAGGAACTCCACCTGAGCGGGGAGGGTGCAGCTCAGTGGCAGAGTATACGCCTAGCACACACAAGATCCTGGGTTCGATCCCCAGTGCCTCCATCAAAATAACTAATAAATAAATGTGATCAACTCCCCCTCCCAAAGAAACAAACAAGCAAATGGAAAACCCATCAACAAAATAAATAAAATAAATAAATATATTTTTAAGTATGTGTTATAAAAAAAAAAAAAAAGGGAAAGCCACCTGAAAGGGTGTGAGGTTGACAGCAAACAGCTGTATCCTTGGAGCAGGAGGCTGGCCCCGGCGGGGCACCCAGGGAGGCGGACTCCCCCCGCCCTCTGCCCTTTCGTGCTTACTGCAGAGTATCTTATGCAGTAAAAGAGGAAAATCATGGAAAAGGAGAACACACGTGCTAGCGATCAGTTTATTAATCCTTCCATTTTTCTTCCAAAGAAAACAGTTCCATGGGACCCTTGGCAGATTCGGGGGCAGAAGCAGGACAATAAGCTGGTGTCACTTTGAAGTGTGGCTGCAGGGCTCCCCACCCCCCTTTCCCAGCACAGCTGTTGAAACTTCAAAGTCGGACCTGCTGTTGATCCTGCCGGTGGGAGGGTGCAATTTCCACCAGTGGGCTTAAGAGAAAAAGTGCGGAGGAATCTTCCTCTCTTACTTAGCAGAGTTGGATGCTCTCCAAACGATCTACTAGTTTCTTGTTGTTGTTGTTTTTTAATATTTTATTTTATTTTTTTAGCGGCGGGTGTAGGGACCGGGGATGGAACCCAGGACCTTGCGCATGCTAAGCGTGCACTCTACCGCTGAGCTACACCCTCCCCTGATCTACCAGGTTTTAGTTATGACTGTCTCTACCTAGTGGGTGCAAAGAAAAAAGCCATCCTTGTCACTTTCCTGTGATTTAAATTTATTTGACGCCATTTTTACAGATCAGCTTAGATAGCCAGTTTTCATAATTTGTCCCGATTGTGCCACACTTCAGTGACAGCAGGTAACCACATAAACACTCCTGCTCCTGATTACACAGTAGTTTCCAAAGAGCAAGGTGAAGTTTAAGGAGATTGTCCCCTTGTCTCTCCACTCCCCCCAGACGGTAATTACAACTGTTTACCATACTTCAGTCAGTTTTGCATTCCATGCATAGGTGGTGCATTCAGACTCACACGAGTTATGAAAGTATCACTCCATTTAGTCAACAATTTACCTTCTACTGTATATGTGTATATATATATATACATATATATATATTATTTTTTTTTTGGTAGGAGGAGGTAATTAGGTATATTTATTTATTTATTCTTAGAGGACGTACTAGGGATTGAACCCAGGACCTCATGCATGCTAAGTACGTGCTCTACCACTTGAGCTGTACCCTCCCTCCTCTATTTTCAAATGATACAAATTTTAAAAGCAAATGCAATTTCCCTGAAATGATTTCCTTTGGTCCAAGCTTTTTCCTTTAGAATTTATTTTCTTTACTTCACAATGATGAATGCTTGAAATATTAATTCTAACTCTAAAAATTAAGAATAGTTATTGATTCAAAAACGAATTCTTGGGCACTTACATGGATGGTTAAATTTCCCTGGCACTACCTCTAACCAGCTTTGATTTAAATAAACATGAAAAATTAGAACAAACATTTCCAAATGCTCATTAGCAGGAACATTTCAGTGTACGGTACCGAACGGTACAAGATATGAGAGTCTTCAGGCAAGGCTGTTGTGCTAAAAAAGTGTAAGTAACCAGTTATATTAAATATTGACAGTCATGTGACCAAAGAAGCCAGTCGCTAACACCGATCAGAGGTGCCCACGCACTCAGGACTTCCGGTGGGACACACTCCTGGAAATACCATGAACGGGAACAAATTCCAGGCACAGAAAACTTCCACCATCAGCAGGTGCGTGTGCTTCACGATATCATGATGTAGAAAAAAAGTGTTACTGTGCATATTCTGAAGAAGCAAAGATGGTTAATTCAATTAAGAGGTAGCAACAGGAGTAAGAACACCAATTAGTCCGTTATCCATATGACATTTATCCCAGAATACAATCTAAGAGGAAGTTATTCTGATGCCTGCATTTTTCTTTTTTAATTTTGCAAAACAGGTCACATCAGAGTGGCATGAACACTGGACTCCTGCTTCTGAAGATGGTTTTTTTTATTCCTGATTGTATCCTGAAGAAGCCGGAGGTCTTCACAAGGTAAAAATCACTGTCTCTGGTTACAGTCTGTCTCCCTAGGCACGTGCAGACTCTTTGTGGTCAGGATTTTTGAGGCATTTTTAATTTGTCTAACAAATGATCTGGAGATGTCGTTTTAACAAAGAGAAACGAAAGACACCAAAAAATGGGGAGAAAGTCACAAGTAAGATGATTTTACGGAGACACAATTTAAAAATAAGAAAGGGCTGTTCATGATTTAGTAGAATCAGGAGATCACACTCGAACAACCATCACGCACGTTGCTCATTTTCTGAGATGTCATTCCAACGACAGCTGCACACTGTCAGCTTGGTTTTGGGGGTGCTGACAGTCATATTTCCTGGCTGTTAAGAAATAGATGAAACAAAAAACCAAAAAAAAAAAGGAGATTAAAATGAATACAGTATCAAAATAATTACTAGCTCACTTCATCACAGTCATGATTTTCAGTAACGAATCAGCTTAGAATTAAATTTTCTTAAGGATTTTTTTTTGGTGGTAAAACATAAAAACATAAAATTTGCAGCTTCACCATTTCTAAGTGTGTAGTTCAGTGGCACTGACCACAGCCACAGCGTTGCGTTACCACCAACACCATCCACATTTTGACCATCCTGGGCTGAACTCTGTCCTCGTTAAACACGAACTCCCCATTCCTCCTCCCCCAGCTCCTGGCAACCACCATTCTACTTTCTGTCTCTATGAATTGGCCTCATATAAGTGAAATCACACAATATTTGTTCCTGCGTGACTGGCTGACTTCACTTCACGATAAGGATAATTACGAAGCATAATGTCCTCAAGGTTCATCCGTGTTGCAGCTCGTGCCAGAATTTCCTCCCTCTTAGAGGCTGAATAACGTTCCATCTATGTATTTACCACCTTTTGTGTATCCATTCATCATCGGTCAAGAACCCTTGGGTTGTTTCCACCTTTTGGCTACTGTAAATAATGCTGCTGTGTTCTAGTAAGTTTTACTTTTAACTTTTTAAGTTTTACTTTTTATTTTGAACTAATAACACAGGCACGTGATACAAAATGCAAAAGCAACACAAGAGGAAACAGTGAAAAGTGTTATCTTCCTCCTACCTTTCCCCAAAGGAACTGCTGTTCTTAGTTCACAGGATAAAATTTATGCTGAAGAATTTTCTAGAAGCTCTACTTGTGTAAAATACACATATATACTTTTTTTCCCTACTTTTCACCTGTAATTGCACTCCACCTGAGATATATTCTAGTAACATCTTGCTGATCATTCTTTCTTCCTTCTTTTTATGTGTGTGCGTGCACACGCACACACACACACATTTAAGTTTTCACTAGAGACCCGTCTTTTAAAAATATCCGTCTTTTTCCTTTAAATCCCACAGTGTTCCCATCGAGGTAATGAATGTTATCAATCTGATGTGTATCTTTGCAAGGCTTCCTCCATGCCTATGTAATTACACAGAAAATTTTTATTACATGTAGATAGGGATGCTTGGTCATTTGATTTGAAAGGAGTGGTACCCTAGTAAACGTACAATTAAATCGTGCTTTTTTTCTCAATTGATGACACACTGCGGACACCACACCTCATTTTTTTAAATAAAAGGCTGTGGTTCGGATGTAAGACTCATCCTGGCTCCGAGCACTTTGACCTTTGTGTCTTCCCCACCCTACATACTCACAGCGTTCAGTCCCACAGGACATATTAACACTGAGGCAGGACCTCTGGCCTTGCACGTGGATGCCACATTCTAGAAGCCATTCCCACACTGCTGTGGCGGGCTGTACGCGGTCGCTTAATTGTAACAGAAGCGGCTGCAAACTCTATAAACACAAAATTCAGACCCAAACTAAAAGCCGCCTCAACTCAACTTGCCCTCAGACAGATCCCCAAAATGCTCTTGGCCACTTGGATGTCACTGCCCACGAGGGAATTAGAGCAGGACGAGACAGCAGGCTTCCCCAGCGTTGAAGTGTCTTAAGTTTGGCAAAATCTACAAAAATGCAATCACATGAACACATCGGGGTCTTGGAAGGATCTGGAGGCACTAACTTCACGCCAGCCTGGTTTGCTGATACCGTGAGGAGTAGCTAAAAAAGACACAAGGTTTTCATTATCAGCTATTTCTGGTAACTTTCACCAACTAGACCCAATTGCCAAAATCCTATTTTAAATTGGTGCCTGTATGTAGTTAAGCACAGATTATACTCACAAATGGAATACATTTCCAGTTGCTGTCTTAAACGGATTTTGCTTATTGTGTCGTAAAAGTTGGGCTCCGACAAAGCCTCTGCTGTAGGTGGCACGCTGAATATTCTCATAATTTTCCTTTTATTCCTGAAACACAAAACCAATGCAGAAAAGAGATTTGGATTCACGGCTACAAGACTCTCATGATTATACAAATCGGAAGCTGCATTAAAAGCACATTAGTGGCAGAGTTCGTCTTCTATTTTGTCTCTGTGAGATGCTTCCTTGGCTCAAAGATTCTTTCTCTCATCAAAGTATGAAGTGCCTACCTGTAAAGCCACAGAGGTACAAGAAAAAAAAATAAAGTAGGTAAACATACCTCCCTGCAAAAAAAAAAAAAGCCATATTATATGAAAAAATGCACAAACCGAAAAAATGTGATTTTTTTTTCTTCCTCCCTCTCCTGTCTTCCACATGAAGCTAAATGACTGGGTTGGGGGATAACAGTAGGTGAGCAGACCTTAATTTTGGAAAACAATGAACAAACGGATTTCTTAAACGGAGCAGCCTGGCCTTAGTGGGATCATCTCCTGGTTGAAATTAACAACAGTGCTTTTCTGCTTCGAAAACGGGCGTATGTGGAGGCGGCGGGGGTTAGTTTTAGGGGGAAGCTGGTACCTGTCTGTGGCCCCATGCTGATTTGTGGAGCCTTCTCCCAGCCACCCCCGGAGAGTCCAGGCGGCCACTGGGCCAGATGCTCAGAGGTCCCAAGGTTGGACACGGGGAGTCTGTGTGTCTGATGCCAAGTGTGGGCTCTGAACTATTCCCCAGGGCAAACGTCAATTATTCTTGGATGACTAATTATTTTGAACTGTCTAATGCCTTTTGACCTTGGTTAGAGGACTCCATGAGGCACGCGGCTATGCGCAGAAGCAACTCGGTCCAACTATGACTGTTTTTCCTCTTCCAAGCAGCCACCCCGCCCCCGCCACCTCTTACTCACTGTACTTAGAGGAAAGGAGTCAGGGGATGTGGGAAAGCACAGTTAAATCATGCTACAGCACCTGGAATTAAGGCAGGAAATAGTAATGAGGAGTTACACCCTGTGGCAAGTCAGGGACACAAAGGTCAAAGGTCCTTGTTCTCGGGGGACTGCGTTTTTGTGGGATGGATGGACAAGTAATCAGATCATACCAAAATGATTCCAGTACGTGCTATGACATAGTCATGCACAAGAAACAGAAGGGAAAGCTTGAATGTGCAAAGACAGAACTGCTGAACACGCAGGAATCAGTGTTTCTGAATTTCAGGGACGTGGGCCAAAAACGTGCGCTCATCCAAGGGTGATGGTGAACCCAGGCTGAGTGATAAAACTGAGCTACGTTAGAAATGATAGAACGAGACTCTACAGCAGCTGGTCCAGGCGCCAAGAGCTGCCTGAAATCCCCGGCTCTTGAAGCAACGGGGTTTTCAAAGCCTCATCTCGGGTGTCCCATATTTGAGGGCAGACCTGAGTGTTTTCACAGAGGTGAAAAAAAAAAATGCTGATGAAACGATTTTTGTGTATTTAATTTAGATCGAACAAGCAAACAAAGCAGCCTGCAAAACTGTTAAAGGCCCAGTTTCTTATCTACCCCGAGACACCAAAACATTTACCTCTTGGCATACATGAAGAGCCCAAAGCTGACAAGGATCACGACCAGGTAAACGTTGGTGGCTTCATTCCAGGCCTCGTGTACGCTGTAATCCATGGAGCCATCAGCACCCATCACTCCGTAACCGCCAGGCATGGGGCTGTGGGGCCACAAAGAAAACAGGGTCTCTTTCAGTCAGTGATGGGGTGACCTGGACAGGGGCTGGCCCACGTATGGCCTGCTGGCCAGCTCCAGCCTGCCGTCTGTTTGTGTATCGCCCAGGAGCCAAGAATGGTTTTACAGTTCTTTTATTTTTTTTTAAAGAACTTGTTTTACAAATTTATTTTATTTTTATTATTTTTTTTTGGTGGGGGAGGTCATTAGGTTTATTTACTTTTAGAGGAGGTACTGGGGATTGAACCCAGGACCTTGTGTGTGTATGCTAAGCATGCGCCCTACCACTTGAGCTATACCCTCCCCAACTGCTTTTACATTTCCAAATGAATATTTTATTTTATTTTATTTTATTCTATTTTATTTTTAAATATAAGATTTTTATCCATAACATAAAAATCTCACCACACATAAAAGAACAATATTTCTATGAAAATATTTATTTTCCTGTCATTTTTTAAAAATTGAAGTACAGTCAATTACAATGGTTAGAAATACCTCCAGAGTAGCTCCCATATTTGCCTCCCAGCCCTCAAAGCCTAAAATATTTGCAACCTGGCTGTTTAAGAAAAAGTTGGCCAACCCCGGTCCGGCTCACTAAGACATGTAACATATTTCCCCTGAGTTTTGGCTTTGAGACATCATGAAAGTTAAAACTCAGGATCAAAAAAATCATATTTCTAAAAGTTTATGGGTTGAAATGTCAGGGCACGGTGTCTAAATTGGAACTATTACTCAGATAAAAGTGACTGAGCACTTGACATCCAGGCTCAAACAACTGGCCGTGATGCTAAAGAGGACAGGGACAGTGTGGGACTGGATAAGATGCCACAGCCACCACCCTGCTCTTCACAGGCCCCTGACGCACCTGGAAAACGTCTGGAGCTTTCTCTAACGGCCTCTCGGCTGAACGGGGCTGAAAGGAGCTGTGGGATAAAAAGTGACTTTTGCTATTTATACAGCTGCGACTTCTGTTTAAGGAAATGCATTCTTTGGATGTTCCCACAGAAAATGAGCGTGGTAACAGACAGTGTATCAGATCGCAAGGGAAAGCGTAATGGTTTCCTATTTGTGTTTGGGAAGTTAAGTGAATTTTTCCTTCAAGAGAAAGTTCCTCCCTTGTGTTAAATCTAAACTAGGTAGGGCTAAGTAAGATGACCTAGTATGTGAAAGAAATTCAGAAGTGTTGTTTGAGACGATTTATACAAAGGAGAAACACTGAACCAATGACAGGGGATAACTGTACTGTAGTTTCTAATGAGAGTCATTTTCTAATACCAAGAAGAAGTATCTGGAAGGTCCAAGAAATTGTTTTGCAATTTTTCCTAGACATTCTACAACAATAAAGCCATCGCAGAAATTCCTCCACTAAAGTATCTTGCAATCTGTCCTATGAGCCTCCAAAGCGTTCTTTAATGCAGATTTGGCTCAGCAAGTTACTAAGCATATATTAAGGGTAAAAAGTCTGTCTTCTTTCTTAGAGTTTGCCTCTGCATAAAATGAGTGAAAGTTCCCCCTGGGGTTGGCTCCCAGGCCAGGTGACATGTTTGTCCCTTTCTGATATCTGAAGTCTCTGTCAGACATTTGGGGACAGGATTCTTCATTTACAATAAACTGAGTACCATAAATGGCCATTTAACTTCAACTCTAGACATCATGGGCAAGAATAATTTCTCTGAAGCATCTTTTGTTGTCTGATGAATAAAAAGATTGGTCTTGTAAAAAATTAGCCAGGGGATAATAAAAACAGGACTTAAATTATAAAAAGTTACAGATGCAAGATCTAAACATTATTTCATCATTAAACCACGTCCAATTCCTAGATAGTAAAGACTAGCTATAGATTTTTTTTTTTAAGAAGAGGAGGAAGCACAGGGAGATTTCACATTTTTGGTTTTGATTCTTGTTCCTTAACACTGAACTCTAGAGTTTCTCTGAATGTAACATGATTTATAGTAAGCAATCAGCCTACTTTAGAAATGGAAACCTTTGGAAGATCAGAGACTGTCTTTATGATTTATGGACTCTAGAATTTTTTTCCTAGATTTTCACTGGTGCCAAAATGTAAAATAAAAATGACTGTGTTTTTGGCAAATAAGAGATGTCTTAGCTGTCTGATCTGAGATGCGGCAGAAGGCCTGCATAACTATGTGGCGAGGGTGTAGGTTTCAGGATGGGGGAGTTACTAACATATCAGAGTAGCATCAGGGAACATATATCACAGTGGCTCCTGGAACATTCTGCAGGTGCCCTTTACTTGACACACTCTGAAGGTGTTTCCGACCTGTTTTCTAACACCTGACTGGATCTGAGGCAGGTTAATTTCTTGCATCCGTTATTCACAAAATTCTGTTCATGTGCCACTCAATAAATGATGTATGCCTACAGAGCTTGTGTTCCTCCTGCTACAAAGAGGCCAGACTTTAATTACATTTAGAGGATTCTGAAATACTGACAGAATGGTACATTTTTCACGTGCATTATACAGCATACATTATACAATTTCATTAGTATGCAATGACACCACTGTTCCGAAGTTCCAGGGACACGCTCTGGAGTTATTTTTGGTAGTGCAGTTGTGAAAGATTTGCACTGAGGGTAGGCCTTTCCTGCCCAGTCCTCCATCATGACCAAAGGCAGGACTTTGTAAGACTGCCAGGAATAAGGAATGGTCTTGTTCAAGGTCATCATACAGACCCATGGGTCCCATGCGGCCTGAACTATGACCAGTCCCCTCCCAGCCTGCCAGGGTCTAACCAAGTGTGCACACACACACCTGCTGAGTGGTTACTGCATACCACCACAGCCTTCCTCTTGAGTCCAAAGCAGAAGGCCCAGGGGCATTACAGCAGTTCATTCCTGGTAAGTTAATGAATGTTTCAGCAAGATCACCACGTGCTTGGTTTGTCATTCAAAGCTTTTTTGAGAAAAGCGACCTTTTTTCACATATTTTTCCTGTAAAGTAATGCTCGAAATATTTCCGTAAGGAGACGCTATGATGAGCTGAACGTAAGTATCCAGAAAGTTGGCAAAACATGACAACCAGGGCTTGATTTCAGTTAGACAAAGTTTTACGTGGAGAACAAGAACTCCTCGGCTATATCGAAAAATTTTAAAACAGTGTCCTCATTTGGGGTTCCTGATACCATGTCTAGGTGGTTCAGTTTTGAAGATCACTTATCAGCCTATCTCGAATGCTATCAGTTTTGTCTCTCATTTAGAGTTTTGTTATTGCGACACAAATTCAGATTAGAATCACCCATATAGTTTCAAGAGTTCCTTACACCACCATCCAGCGCATAAATGTGATTTTCTTTCTCCCAATCCTCTGAAATGCCAAAGGTTTGGGTTCCGGAAGCCAAAGGGTACAAGCTGACAGGCCTTCAGCCACCAGGGGGAAAGGCAGTTAACACAAAGTCATTTAATTTTCACAACCACCCTGCTGGGAGGCACTAAAGCACCATTTGACAGAAGCACCGGGGATGGAGGTGGTGGTCATTCAACTTGCCCCAGGCCACCCACGCTGGGG